TCATACATAAAGCTTCTATTTTGGATCGCTGGAATATATCTCCATCTCTATCATGATGGTACATCATATGAATATCTAGCTTTACTTAAATAGGACGGAAAATAATATCAATATCGTAGTGAGAAATTTACAAAGATTTTACACTAGTGAAAAAGTTGTGTAATGAACCTTTAAAATGAATCGATTYTCTGTATTTGTACGATGTTTTTAAATTCTTTTTAAGTAGTAATAAAATCGAGTTCCCATTTTGACACAATACAGCTACAGCTCTATGTAAAATAAACAAAAACCAAGAAAACCTAGCTTGATTATTTTCCCTTAATGATTCTTTATTACAACAGGTGACAACGGGAAAATTACAAGCAGTTTTATTCAAATACAAATTTAAGTTGTCCAATAAGTTTCTCGCAATTTTCTACTACACAAATACATCTGAAACAAATGTTTGTCCCTGCGCATTTGTTTAAATGATATTCTGTCACCAAAAAGCCTTCAGAACTTGGGCGGCAGATGACTTAGCAGTTGCCAAATCCTTAGACCTGGAGATCAATAGTCCGACTTATATGAAAAAATATTGGCTCGCAATTTAACAGTTAATACGTAAGACTGCCTTCATTGTATGAATATCTAATGTAAAATTTTAATTWCATTGATGGACAGCGCTCATCAATGATGACTGAATCTTGCTTTGGAAATACAAAGCACAGACAAAAGCAGCTGACGATACTGAAAAGGTCATGAATTACCAAGAAGGCTATACGAATCGATTTCCAGTGAGATTTCATGTATTGAAACTCTCAATCAACAAMTGAAGTTAGCTTAAAAAAAATAGACAATTTATTCGAAAAAAACTGAAGAGAAATTAATCGAGAACAGAAAAGGGACAAAACGAGAGCTGGACCATCGCAAATGAAGTATCRGAGAAATGTTTGGAGAAATTACAWAATGAATATRAATGAAAACTGATTATCATAATAGCTGCAACTATTGAGTCTGCTTAATTCACTGGGAAAAAAGAAAACAGGCTTGAAGTTTTGAAGGAATTTTTGCGCACTTTGATATACTTTGACAGCAATCGACTGTTTTCACTTTAAAACAATGTCGCTGACTTCGTTCAACRGTACTGGAGATTGGACTTTACCAAGCGTGGTAGYCATGGKCTGCTGGCTTACAATCATCATCTTGATCGGTGTGTTTGGAAATATCCTCGTTATCTTTGTCAGTGTACAAGGAASAAGAGTCAARACACGAGGCAAAAGTCTAATTGTTTCGATGGCTGTTGCCGACATGCTAGAGTCTCTGAATTTAACATGTGTTTTGGTGACTGCATTGCGTTAYGGTGAATGGGTCTTTGGTAACGCAATATGTAATATTCATGCTTTTGTGACWACAGAGTTTGTAATCGCGTCAATGTATAGTTTGATGGCCATTAGCGTCAATCGCTTCTTCATGGTCGTCAAGTCAAATTACTACAAGAAGATTTTCAGCAACAGGAACATTACGYTGATTATTGCTTTCATTTGGRTTTTTCCACTGACATWTGCAATTCCACCCCTGGTTGGCTGGTCAAGATATGAMTTTCAGTCMAACAAAGCAACATGCATCTTCTACTTCAGCACTTCGCCCAGTTATGCTGCAGTTGTGATAGCATTCTGCGTYCCAGTCCCCTTGAGTGTGATTCTTTACTGTTGCTACAAAATATTCATTGAAGTGCGACAACATAAGWGTCGGGTRCAAAACATTGGTAACAGAAGTTCGGTMAATGTCGAGGAAATCCGTATTACCAAGACATTAATCATTATTATCATGGCTTATCTTATATGTTTTATTCCACCGGCCGCGGCAAACTTCGTGGAAATGGTCAGTCCTAATTATAAGATTCCATTTTGGGTCGATGTCATYTCAATGAATTTAGTTTTTACAAACCATGCCAATAATCCCTTGATATATGGGTTTTTCAATAGACAGTATCGCCAGGCATTTAAAGAACTTATATTCAAGATTCTACCTGGCAATTATGTTTTAAGTTTAAGTGGTGAGAGTGTCCAGGAAAGTGCCAGAACACAAGGTGTTAGTACTATAAGGAGCAGAGYTRTAACGGAGAGACCTGTTACGGAGGGTTGAGTAGTTGTCATGGAATTGATCTGGCTGCTACTCATTATTAATCATATTCATATCATTTTCAATATATCATCCGCATAAACAAGCCAAGCGTTTATATTATGTTATATATGTATTTATATGGACGTAAAAGTTGTAAGTGGTCAATTTTAGCGGTTTTAGAAAACATATGACATACAAACATAACAAACAAATATAAGAACATTAAAGTATAATGGAACAAACAATGGAAATGTCCTTTTTTACCATAACTTGTAGAATTCTCGCGCGCTGATTGGTCGAGGGCCGTTGTCAATCCTAGGACAGACGGATGAAATGACGAATCGCTCGCTTACGCTCGTGGTTCCACTTGAGTTTTGAGCATTTTGACGTCAATTTCATTGTCAATAAGAGTACAGACAATGGAAAACCGCCTGCGAATTGTTAAATTTTCTCTCTTAGGCACGGTTCATACGTCGAGCCAACAGCGTCGCGCCGAACCAAATAGTTTGACTTAAGCACATGAACAGCTCGACGAATGAATCAATGGAGTTCGGTGCGACCGTAGCACGGCAGTGGGCACGGCACGGCAGTGATTCAAACACACTAAAGATAAACTGCGTGTTRTTGGACCTTTTCTTATGCTTTTAACTCCATTTGACTCGATTTATGAAGCAACGCGCCGTACAAAATGTATTTGGCGGGGCCACACCAATTGACTTTTAGTTTGGCGCGACGATAGCATGATTTATGAGCCGGTCCTAACATGTAAGATCCACAACATAAGTTCCTTTGCTTTTTTATGTCCTGAGTTTTGTGTCCTGTTCAGTGATGCTCATGTACTGCTTTAATTTTGTCGGCGGCGATAAACCAGTTCTCCAAAATGGCCACAAAAAACTTTCTGAGGACAAAGCAGGGACGGATCCAAGTTTTTTTTTAAGTGGGGGAGGGTGGGGAGGGGTTTGCACGAAATTGACGAGAGGATGCGCCCCATTTCCTGCAACCTCCCTGCAACCTCCCTGCAACCCCCTTTTTTGCTATATGACTATTGTTCTTGTAACGTTATCACCCTGAAGACTAAAGTAAAAATAGTCAAGGTTGATGAATCTGAGTCCACAATTATAATTCTATTGATTGTTTTTGTTTTCTTTTTTTCTGTAATCAAGCTTTCGGGAGCTTTTAGATTCTAGATGTGTACTGCTAAATGAAATGTAACAGAAAAACTATAAGTCAGGCGTCACCTATAAATTTAAGGGAATTGGAAAGCATCTTCAAGATGTTATAATTTAGTGCAACAGAAGTAAGTCAAAAACTAGGTAGCTCAGTCAAATTGAGCTCAAAGCACTGAATTCTAAAAATTACTTTTTCACASCAGTTTATCAAGCAAATATTGAATTAAGCTAGACGTTAAATTTAGAATTCTATTACCTTTTTGTGCAATCATTTGTGTGCTATGAAGAAGTATAAGATATGTTTACGATTCACTCTCTAATTTTGACATCGTTTAATCAATTTGACTTGTGTATTTCTACTTATGATACATTGTGGGTTAGCAATTTCATCAAAAGCTGAACACCGTACGCCCCCACACAAAAATGGCGCCGAAACGATGAGTAAAATATGGTGGTACCTTTTCTAGGGCTGATTTAGCTCTTCACAAGAGGAACTGATTTGGACCTAATGTAAAGAACTGAAATGACTCTAAAAAAGGAGCTGAAATAGCTGTAAAAGTAAATGTTCATAGTACCATTAGCATGGACATATAATAGCCAAATAGAAGATCGTAAAATGTCTATTTGAAAAAGTCTCAGTTGATATTTTTATTATGATAGTGCATATGTTCAATGACTCATTATTATTACTGAAAATTTATCGTTTTTAAAACAAAACTGATCAAGTTAAAATAAAAACAATGAAACATTCAGAACATTTACTATCCAATTAAAGAGGAATTCTAATTTGATTTTGATTATCCTGTGTCTTTGCGCTAATAAATTATGAAGACAATTGATGTGCTGCAAACRCTGTAGGACCTCTCGCTTAGTTCCGCTCAGTAATTGAATAAAGGCAGGTTTATTCATTGGATTCAATAACTATTTTGTTCAAGATTGAGAACACAGTGAAGTATGGCTAAAAAGATCTAGAAACATTGAATTGTCATATTGTCACATCTATTTGTCATATGTCACTGGGAAGCTACCAACACAAAGTTGGAGAGGAAATGCAAATCAAGGCAATGGAAATCGTTTTGAAAGCATGTAAGTTACTAAACGTGAAACTAAAATATAGAGGGTTTTACTACTTAAAGCAAATTAACAGGGCTCAAGAAGCAAATTAACAGGGCTCAAAGAAGCTGTAAAACTAGTTCCAAGTCAAAGGAAACAAAGAAATAAGTTCCCAGATGAAGAAAACAACCAAACAAAAATATGCATCAGATGGTATGATGCTTTTTTTGACAATGGTACATTGAAGAGCATGCAGAAGACTTTGGAACTTTGTTACTTTATGCTGTTTAAAGATTAGTTAGTCTGATTTTGCTGATGCTTCAAGCCAACTAGCGTTATTAATATTTCAGTTCATTTCACACAGCGAGACAAGTGAGACGTTTTTCCATTTAATTTTGGCAAAAAGAGGCGCGCGACAATGAAAAATGGATACGATAAGATAATTTTTTAATCGTATAGAAACAGATCTTGACACAGCATCCTGCCCATTGCATTAATCACAACAACGTTTTCTGTTTGGATACAAAAAACGTATCGAAAATCGAGTTAAACAATGATTAAATGTCATAAATTGTCTTCTAGACAGTACGCAGCCACTTAACGCGTTAACAAGCTGAGGGTAGTTCATTTGGGAGTTTGGCTCTGTTTATTATTCCGATAAAACCCCGTGACAAAGCGTGACCACGCACTGGCTTTATGCAAGAAAGTGGGATAATACAATTTTATATTTTTTATATATAACACTAGAATGGTTATCCACAGTGGCCTATACCAGTATACATTGAGGTGATTTTATGCCATACGTAATATATAATATAGAGTAAAAACTTGCTTGACTTGCAAGATACAAGTCATTTTTGTATGACAGACACGATTTCYATATTCCCACAACTGTTCCTTAGTGGTTTGCAATATAAATTCGGCGCAGTRCATGTTGTGTACGATGATGCGTAAAACCTCTTTAYGAACTTGGCTTCCGCAGTATAATTGTTATATAACGGGGAAWTTTACGTTTGACGCACGTAAWTGTTTCTGAGCTTGGTAAATTGCAATTGGTTTTCATTTGCAAGTTCTGCTGCACAGCAGATGAACATTCATGTTCTTTTACTCAACGTATAAATATTTTTTTTACAAATATTCAAACTAATTATTAATTGAACTCTTCCAACAGAACATCTCATCAATAGTCGCGAWAGAAGACCTTTCCTTAAAAATGTCGGGCGAATCCAACAACAGTTCTGGAGATTGGACTTTACCAAGCGTGGTAGCCATGGGCTGCTGGCTTACAATCATCATCTTGATCGGTGTGTTTGGRAATATCCTCGTTATCATTGTCAGTGTACAAGGAACAAGARTCAGGACACGAGGCAAGAGTTTAATAGTCTCCATGGCTTGTGCTGACATGCTGGAGTCTCTGAACATGGTTTTCATGTTGGTTACTGTAGCGTCATATGGAGAGTGGATCTTCGGGGAGGTAATGTGTCAACTCCATGGGTTYATAAACACTCAGTTTGTGATTACATCCATGTATAGCTTGATGACGATCAGCTTAAATAGGTATATCGTGGTTGTTAAGTCAAACTTGTATAAAAAGATCTTCTCCAGAAAGAACCTTGCAATTATGATAGCACTWATATGGCTTTTTCCATTGCTGTTTGCWATCCCACCKCTTTTGGGTTGGTCTCAGTACGACTTTCAAAGCAACAAAGCAACTTGTATTTTCTATTTTTCAACATCAGTAWTGTATTCTATCATTGTCATGGCATTCGCGATTCCTGTTCCTCTAGGAATCATAGCTTTCTGTTGCTATAAGATCTTCAATCAAGTTAGACGCCATAGGTCCAGGGTCCAAGGARCTGCTTCCAGTAAAACCGTCAACGTTGAAGAAATACGAATTACTAACACTTTGATTATYATCATATTAGCTTATCTAATTTGCTTTATTCCGGCGGCGACAGTYAATTTGATCGAAATGGTTTCACCAAGTTACAGAATCAATATCTGGGTCGACATTCTTACTACAAACTTGGTTTTTGCAAATCACGCAARCAATCCAATCATCTATGGGCTTTTTAATAAGCAGTATCGAAAGGCATTCAGAGGGCTAATTTTCAAGGCTTTTCCACAAATGAGGTACAGCTCCAATGGAGAATCAACCATAGAAGGCGGGCAAAATAATGAATCATGTAAAGTGCAAAACTAACAGCTACTTGAAGTCCTTGAAGATGAAGAACTAGCGCCTTCTAACACAGTGAGATGCTCCGGGGTTTTCCGCGTGAAATCAAACTGTTTGTTTACTAAAAAAACAGAAAGCATCCTAATAATGTTTTGAATGCTTGGAAGTCGTTAGAGTAAAACATTTTATTTCACTTCATAGTGAAAACTTTTAAGATTACAATCTTAACTTTATTCATCAATATTTTTGCGACAATGAATATTCACTTCACTTAAACTAAGTGACGCGCGTAAATTAAGTTCAACAAGGCCTGCTAACTCGTACTAGTTTTCAAAGCTTAAGCTTCCTGCTGAAATTAAAAAACAGCACCTTAGCAACTTACAGTAAGGGAAGTATTTCAATACACACGACCATCAGCTGTCTAANTCACGCAAGCAATCCAATCATCTATGGGCTTTTTAATAAGCAGTATCGAAAGGCATTCAGAGGGCTAATTTTCAAGGCTTTTCCACAAATGAGGTACAGCTCCAATGGAGAATCAACCATAGAAGGCGGGCAAAATAATGAATCATGTAAAGTGCAAAACTAACAGCTACTTGAAGTCCTTGAAGATGAAGAACTAGCGCCTTCTAACACAGTGAGATGCTCCGGGGTTTTCCGCGTGAAATCAAACTGTTTGTTTACTAAAAAAACAGAAAGCATCCTAATAATGTTTTGAATGCTTGGAAGTCGTTAGAGTAAAACATTTTATTTCACTTCATAGTGAAAACTTTTAAGATTACAATCTTAACTTTATTCATCAATATTTTTGCGACAATGAATATTCACTTCACTTAAACTAAGTGACGCGCGTAAATTAAGTTCAACAAGGCCTGCTAACTCGTACTAGTTTTCAAAGCTTARGCTTCCTGCTGAAATTAAAAAACAGCACCTTAGCAACTTACAGTAAAGGGAAGTATTTCAATACACACGACCATCAGCTGGCTAAATACAATTCAAATTAGATAAAATAGAATAATGATGGACTGACTGTTCGTGAAGGATGACAGGAAAGCGGCCTATGTAAGCAATACACAGTTGATAGGAGAAAAATCAAAACAATTAAATTAAAATGAGTTCAAAGGGAAGCCAATTCTCACAAACAACAACAAGAAAATACTGAATATAAACTATTGTAACTAAATTCCAATTGTGGTCGATTCTCGCTGTTTATTTTGTTTTCTTTGGTTTGTTGTTGTTGTTTTTTTGTTAGTTTTTTGTTTGGTGGTGGTGTTGGGGGGGGGGGGGGGTGTTGAGGGGTTACCTATTGCCCCATAGATCTTTTCTGAGATAGCAATTTGCATTGCATTGTGGTCTAAATGCGGCACAAATATCTTTTGTTCATACTGCCAAATATGGTGTTGTTTGTACTGAAGCTAGACCACAATGCACCATGATTTTGAATTTCAGAAAAGTTCTATGTACACTAAAATCATTTTTAGCTACGTCTCTCTAAAACGTGGTTACGCCAACAATTTTTTAGGGAACAACGGCACTGGAATTATTTTTATGTTTACACAATTTTACCGGCGCCGTATCCTCYTCTTCAAGTGTGCCGAAACTTTCTCCTTAGAGGGAAATTAATACAATTATTACGTTATTATTTTAAGATGAAGATCACAAAAATGTAAAGAACGAGTCACTTTAGTAATAGAACCGCTCGTTGATCCTCAATGAAAATATGTATAGTTGACAAGATTTTGTTTTCATGGAAAAGCGAGATGTGACTGCAATGGCGCTACTGACAAGGTCTGTAGGAATCTTTTGGCGCAAGATCTAACAGCTATGGAAAGATCTAACAGCTATGGCAAGATCTAACAGCTATGGCAAGATCTAACAGCTATGGCAAGATCTAACAGCTATGGCAAGATCTAACAGCTATGGCAAGATCTAACAGCTATGGCAAGATCTAACATCTAACAGCTATGGCAAGATCTAACAGCTATGGCAAGATCTAACAGCTATGGCAAGATCTAACAGATGCGTTGAATTTTATTGATTTTATTGTATTCGCAACCTGCCTTGATTAGCGCTATGCTATAAGAAGAGAATTGAAATGCAATACATGTATATATTTCCATGTACAAAAAGCTTCGATAAGTCATATTTCTTTAAACATTGCGTCAGAAAATGTTTAAATCAACCAGACATGTCACGACCGGCCTTTTAGGTCAAATTTATTTAAATCTTACGAAATTTTGCATATTTTGAATTAGACGCTCTTAGAGTCGATCTTAAAGTCGAGCTTTTTTGGAAAATTGAGAAATACAATATTTCAATATACAATATTTTATTTATTTATTTATTTTTTGCTCAAAATTTCTAGTGCTTTGATGACGTCGTTGAGTCAAAGCCGTCAGAAAAGAATATCGTATAGTAGCGTGTGATAAACAATTAGAATTTTGAGCAGCATACATTAATAAATTAATAAAAAACCAGTGAAAGTAACGCATCCTTGCTTTCACTATGTGTTAGAGATACAAAGAAATTGTACAGTTAATTTACATTCATAATTGTAACAAGATGAGGATTAACAATCGACGCTTAAACAAGGCTTTAATCTCCTGAACTACACGATTACACAATCATACTAAAACTGAACTCGAACTGCATAAATTAACACATACGGGACATCGTGTCACATTGTGTCACGCAATAACGTTATGTTCATATTGTCACAATAATATAATCATATGATAGACAGAATATTACATCATAATTTTATCGTGTTTACAACCCGTCACTCGTTCGCCTATACATGCACCCAAGTAATATCCTGTCTTTCTTAATTTTCTAAAATAGCTAGCCCGACTTCACGTTCTAAGAGCGTCTTGTTTCAAAATAAAGTGTGCAGTACAAGCTTCTCACAGTGTTCGTGATACCTGTGTGCATTACTCCAGCTAAGAAAGTATAAGACCCTGAGCAAATTTCAAGAACGTTACAAAGTAAAGAAAATGAACATTAGTTTCTTAATTATCATTTAAATTGTGATTGTCCTTTCAGCTCTAAATCATGCTTTTTCAAAATGTTTGAATTTGTCAGAGCATATATTATCACATCCTGGTCTTCCCAAATTATCGCCACACGCTGACACTGCCAATAAAAAATTCAATTACAAAGACTTGACCATCTGGTGCAACAGCRACACCCTGAGGGTCACCTATTCTAGCAACACCTGGACCATGATTACCAAAAGAGGTTATGAACAAACCATCTTCATCAAGCATCTGTACTCGGTGATTATCACGATCACAAACAAGAATTGCACCATTTATAACGGTAAGTGCGCTTGGACCATTAAATTGTCCATCTCTATTACCCTTCTCTCCAAATTTATACAGAAATAATCCATTTCTATCATAAACACGGATGTAGTGTTTACCTGGATATGAGACAAAGTATTTATCGTTACCATAATCGACACACCATGGCACCTCATCTTGGCTAACACAAGAAATGGTCTTAACTAGCTGGCCAGATTGTTTATTTAACAACTTTATTCCTGACTTCTTTTGTCTGTTTAGGGACTGGCAGCAAACAGCAATGTTTTCATTTGTTGCACATATTCCACGTAGTGTAACTCCTTGTTGTTTGTAAATAGTTCTACAGTAATTACCATTCAAATCGAACTCCTTTAATAGACCGGTATCATTGTTATTATCTGTAACAAGTAAACGGTCTTTATTATAGACTACAGCACGAGGATTACCAAGCTGACCTTCGCCGGTTTCTCTTCCGCTAAAATGTCTCAAATACTTTCCATCAACACTGAATATTAAAATGCAATGATTACCAAAATCATAAATGGCTACTTCTCCACTATCACTTACTGCTAGTGACACCGGATATATCAATTTGGGACTTATCCAAATTTTTTCACAATGTCAAACTCTCCTCTAAAATCACGTGCCTTAACAGTCTGTGGTGAGTTCTTGATTTCTTGTCCATTGATTCTGACATGGATTATGTAATTACATGGTTTTTCTGCACGATACTTCACAGTGTATCTCCCAGTTTCACTTTGACACACTTCCTTCTCCACATCCATCCCCTCTCCATCTTGGATTTGAACATCAATGGAGCCTTCACAAGTCACRCAAGGCTCTGCTTGCGACTTTAGAGTCACAACTTCAAAATAATTGACAAAACCACACCTGATAATCCCATTCAAACTTTCAATGGAACAACGCGACGGATCTGTCACGGTCTCCAACATCTCTCCAATATCTTTCAGGCTTTGCGTGACTTGAGGGTTGGGTGTGTAACGTAAACATGCGTTACGTTCAACTGGCTTGACGGACAATATTGATGGTTTTTCAAGAAATGTTTCACATCTTTGAGAAAGTTCCTGTTGKCTGTTGACAATGAAATGTGGTACATTTTCATCTAGCAATGTCTGACCTCGAAGGTTAAACTCAGAGATGTTTTCGATTCCATCACGTAGTTCTCTTTGTTCCTTGTCATTTTCTGTTTTGTGTTGCTGAAGTTTTCTCTGTATGGTTTTGATCACTCCTGTTTCGTGTTCTTTCAGAACTTTGATGTGTTGCTCTACTTCATCGCTGACTTTCTTTATTGCTGCGTTAGATTCTTGCTCAATTCGTGCCATGTTCTGCTTTGAAAGTTCGAGTTCTCGTTCATAGTCTCTTTTAAGTTTAGTGACTCGATCCAAATTCTGTTTAATTAACGCTTTTACATCTTCTGCGGCTTCCTCGACGGTCACTGTGTGGTGTGGTTTGTGTTCTGTTGCGTTACATGTCACACAAATACACCGTTTGCACGTTGTACAATAAAAGTCCATTTTGTTGTTGTCATGGTATCTTTCCGGGCAATAAAAACGATTCTTGAATAAGTTTTTGAYGTTTTCTTTTTTGAAATCACAGAGCATCGTCGCTTGGTGCTGCTCAACGAAAGTCGTATAAGTTTTGTGGGCGTTCACACAAACAGCACAAATCAGACCCTCGCATTGCGGACAGAAAGCAACGAGTTTGTTTTGTTTCTTACAGCTGACACAGTCTGGTATTTCTTGTTGGTTTTGTGTGTCGGCAGTGATCCTCATATCGTGAAGTAGCTGCAGAAGTGAGTCGAGGTGGAACGAATAAGGAAGACTAGACACGTCATTCCCTTCGAGTCTCTCTATTGACCTACAAGAAGGACATGTCAATGGTTGTGTTTGTCGTTTACACGACTCATTCCAGTCAGATATGCATTCCAAACAAAAACTGTGTAGACATCTCAACGTCCTTGGGTTGGTAAATATCTCTTCGCATATGGAACAAGTGAGTTCTTTTTGGAGATTGCCTGCAAACACATTGAGCTCCGCCATTTTGAACCATCGCTATAAATTTCAGGCGGTGTTGGACACAGCGCGAAAAGGATCCTGGGTTTTAATTCAACCTCGTCCCCAGGGCCATCTCGGCCGACTCCTTTTCAAGATGGCGGTCGTCGGGGAGATGAGTCATCTCCCCGACGACCATCTTGAAACGGAGTCGGCCGAGATGGCCCTGGGGACGAGGTTGGTGGAACAGCAGGGACATTTGTCTGCGCATGCGTGAGTCAAATAGAATACATAACGCGCGGTATACCTGTGCCTGGCGGGAAACTTTGAAGATGTAAGTAAACATGGCGAAGGCTATGTTGAGAG